GTGTGTGTGTGTGTGTGTGTGTGTGTGTGTGTGTGTGTGTAGCCATGTCCTTCGATATGTACAATGAGAACTTATTTGGGGATTGTTTCCTTTTTCTAGTTTCAGCAATGGATGATAAATATCTTCCTAAAGTCTTGACCACACCAGATCTTCCAATTACCAAATCTGGTAATTATATGTTCTCATAAGTTTGATAATATTCTATTTTTAGTGATTGTTGGTAGATAAAGCATTTCTGGCAGTTGATTAGAAGTAACAAGTTTCTGCACTGAACAGAATTTGAAAGACATGCACAAGGATCATATGCAGAACTTCATTACACAGATGGACAGTATTAGAAGACCAGATAGTTCTTTTCATGCTACCTTTGATGTTCATTTTCCTGAAATTACCCATTAGCCTTTGAGAATTCTTCCTTAAAAACCCTTTCATCTCATATGATTAGCATCACATAATATTTTGAATCTACTGCCTGTACTATGAGTTTCTGAACTGAATTGAATTTGAAAGACATGCCCATGTATTACATGTACAGCTTTACCACACAGATGGATAGTATTAAAAGATGATTTTTTTTTCTTGTCATGCTACTTTTGATGTTCATTTTCCTGAAATTGCCCATTACCCATGCCAGACGTACCAGACAGGATACATGGTAGAGTGCCTTTTTTTACGTACTACTTTATGATCCTTTGCAAAATTAGTGCTTGCATCTCTCAAGTGTAATCTTATCCAATGATTTTACAAAATCCAGACATTCTGGAAAGGATTACATGCTTAAATTCTAACTACATTATTCATTCATGAATGGTCTATAACACTGAAGAGAATGTTAGTGCACTTTTGAATAGAGAAAACAGTATACCGGATAATTAAAATTTTCTTTTGATCCTCATGTATAGAAAATTAAAACCCTTTAAAGACAGATAATACACTCTTGGTGACACTTAGAAACAAGGAGTTTCTGATTGAACATAACTTTGAAAGTCATGCCCAAAGACCATATGCAGAGCTTTAGAGATGCATAGTATTGGGAGAACATTCACTTTTTTTCAAGTTACTTTTGATCTTTATTTTCCTGAGAGTTAACTCCATTTTCCTTTGAGAATTCTTTCTTCTTCAGTTGAAAATCATTTCATATGTTATGATTAGTAAAGCATGGTATTTTGAACCCTGTCAAATGTAGATTAATTTAAAACTGCACTTCCTTTTAGCCTCTCATAAACCTAGATTGGTTCCTCCAAAGGTTAAAGAACCTGACTACATCATCATGCCAGAATTACCAGATAGGAAACATGGTAGAGTGACCTAGCTTCAAGGTGCTAGTCGTAACTTATAAAGCCCTTCATGGTATTGGATCTGGGTACTTGAGAGACCGCCTGCTGCCAATTACCTCCCACAGA